ATTTTTGTAATGAAAAAGTCAAAAAGTTAATTCCGGCCGGAAATTAGTAAACAATTATGTAATGCGGGCCAAAATTTAAAGATCCTCGGCCGTTTCCAATCAAAGTCGAGGATCTCAAAATAAAAGCTGCGCCTAATTTTTTTTTAACTTTGAGCGAAGATATCTCGACAACCACCTGATCGAATTTAATAAAACATTTTTTTATTTGAATTCTACGGATTCATAGAATTCATATAAAAAAAAATTTTATCGAATTAGACCAGGTAGTTATCGAGATATCTTCGCTCAAAATTAAAGGAAAATTTTGAGCAAAGATATATCTCGACAACCACCTGATCAAATTCGATAAAAATTTTTTATTTGAATTCCATGGATTCATAGAATTAAAATAAAAATCAAATTTGGTAAGATTATTGTCGAGATATCTTTGCTATGATTTTTTAAAAAATTCTATTTTTACTGGGGTATGAATACCAAATGTGGGGGTACGAATATCAGCCCCCTTAAATATATTATATTTTTATATATAGTTTTTTATATGTATACACAGTGGGAAACGATTTTAAAAAGTTGATTATATGATTTATATACATTATATATTTTATAATATATAGCGATAGTGATAGCTAGATTAAAAAGGTAGTGTGATTATACGTAACAAGGTTGTGACTATATAATAATAATGTATTACATAATGTATACTGTAATTAGTAAATTATTTTTTTTCAAAATTATGTATATACAGTATTAATTTAGTTACTTATACAGTATTATACAGTATTTTATAAAGTATACGTATACGTAGCATTTTTGTTGTTACGCATTAATAATTATAATCTATATATAGTAAAAAATCTTGCATTAAAAAAAAAATTAAATTAACTTTAAAAATATATTTTTCTAAGCTAAATAAAAAAAAAAAAAAACTGCTGCGTATTAATAAATTTACAAGCAATACTTATCCTGTATTGAAAATACATCGATTGTCAGCATGTGTATAAAACCATCATCGGAAATTAATCGGTGAATATAACATATCTGGATATTCAATTCAGTGAATTATTGCAAATCAGGATATTCAGATATTCAATTAATATCCGAGATATTACACAGACCACTATCAGGTTCCTAATGTTCAGTGCCAAAAAGATGGAGGAGTTTTAGGGGTATCAAGATCTTAAGTTTTGTTCAGCATTGTTAAGCGATTTACACATTGGTAATTGACACGTATTTTATTATAATTTATCACATAACGTAATAAATAATATAATAAAAGGGTGCAACAATTACCAATGAACAAACCGTCATGATTCATAAGGATGATCACATCACATGATTAATTTTTTATACTTCGCTTTGTCGTTATAAATTAGGGCTGCATATTTTGAAATTTTGTGAATTAAAATTCACCGTAAAGGCATTTAAATTGTGTATTCATATTCTAAGAAAAATAACCAAACTAGTCCTATATGATAACCGTATTTATCTCAATCTATAAACTAAAAAATCACATGATTATATTTCTAATATTAATGATTTGTTATTCCTAATTACGGTTCGCGTATTCTGTCTAAATAGTCAGCAATATTATCGAAAGTCAATTTCACCAATTGTCGACGTGTTAACCGTTTTTTAGTGAATCTTAATAAGACAAATGAATTTTTTCATTAAATGCACTTTATAAATTTGCTAAACCTTATAAGAAAATAATACCAAAACTTACGGACAGGTATCTTTGGATTCATGAGAATGTAGAATTTTAATCCATGTTTTGTAATCGCATACATACCTGCGAGTATAATGAAAAGAAAGTTAAAAGACAATATTAAAAAAATTTGTCCAACAAAAAGAATAATAAAAAACTAACCCATCTGGTGAGATTGCTGGTTCATTCATATATTCCATAGTAATCGCGTCTTTCATGTTTGGCAATGGATTCCAAGGATTAAATTTAGCTTTGTTCTTCGCGCTCCATTTATCATCATCTTTTTGACTAGAAAATTTTCTTGCTCGTTTAATTTGACCATTAGAAGACATTGATTTAACTAGTTTGTCGTAATTTACTCGTAAAGGCGTCACGGGACAACCATCTAATTCACTAATTTGACCGGTAGTTACTAGGCGATTATATTCGTATTGACATTGAAATCCCGTTCGATTGGGAATATTACGCGCAATTAACCCAAAAGGAAAAGAAACATCACTATCCGAAATTGAAGAGCTAACACTTCCACAAAATCTATGGATTTCTGATAAAAGAATTTGTCTTTCTTCGTCTTTCCATTCTTTTTCACAACAAAATGTCTCACCTTCACCAACAAATCTGTAATAATATTCTTCGACATCATTTTCTTTAACCATTTTTGTGAGTAATTGTTGTAATAATGGGTCCGAAAATCCAAAGAATAAAGGACCAGAAATACGGGTTGCTAATTTATTGGTTTCATAAGAATTAAGAAATAAAAAATGATATTATTATAAATATGATCTTTTATAGGAATCATGTATAGCGCGTCATTTTATACTATGCACATACCTCTTGATGAAGAATGGGATATGCATACCATTGTCCATGGTTTTGTAGGTGAACTTCCAGTAAAAGATTGTTTTGTCGCCTGGTTTGTAACTCTGAAAAGTGGATTTCCAGTTGTTAAATCTTCTTCAATGGACATGATATAAGTAGTATTCGATTCAACTCGTTTTGCCTTGTAATTAATAGGAATTGGATGATGATATAATGAACCTGGGCTTGACCACCATGATGGAGACTTGTGATAACAACCAAGAGAAATGACGGTGGTTCGTGTTGATGGCAAAGTGAATGGAACTTCTATTTCATCTATTGAATCAAATTCTTCAGCTGAGTGAGCTGAAGGAGAAGAGTAACCATCTTCTATATATTTTTCACCAGATATGCAGCTAGCAGGTTGTAGCAAACTACGAAAGCCTCGCGCACCCTTTCCTGCAAGCTTGTTAAGAACTTCATGTTCATCATCATGACAAAGAGACAGTGCCAAGCGTGCCTCTTCTTCTGATAAATCAGAAGCAAATATAATAGTTTGTATCTACTCCAAATGAAAGTAAAAAATTGCGTATTATAGTAATAATTATAGCTTTTTTAAATAACGCGTTCTAAACTAAAATACCTTTTGATTAATATCTTTTTCCACAAAGGCTTCATATTTTGACCTTACTTCGTGAATGCGTTTCATAATTATTTGCCTCTGCTCTTCTGTCATATCAGGGTCCTCAAGAAAGTTTGGAGCAGGGCAAAGGATGCTTGTTTGCTGCTGTTGTTGCTGCGGGAGAATTGCAATCGGGTTATGTCTAGTCATATTGACGCGTGACGCATGCTTCATTTTCATCTTGACTTAGAAAAGCTATTTTTACTTCAGGAATACCGTCAGAAGAAAACCAAACTATAGTAGCTTTGCGTTTATTACTTTAATGCTAACTATAACGAATAACGTGAATTATAACACACTGTTCAACTACTATAAACTACTATAGAATTCTGAATTCAATGTGTATCGATTCACATGACACAAGATGATCTACAAACTTCTTAGGGGTCATTTTTAAAGCTAGGGTTTAACGAAACGAATTTTTATATTTTTTATGATACTAACATTAAAATACTGTAATTTGAGCAAGAAGAATTAATGAATGAATTTAAAATATGAGCAAGGTTGAAACAAATTAAAATATAGATAAATATATACATATTTAATGCATAGGAATATACTGTATATGGAGTATCTACTACGTATTACGTATAAATCGCATAATTGAACAAATAACTTTTTATCATAATTATATCGCATTCATCGTAGATTTACCTCGGTTAAATCACATAATTTACATATAATTACTTAATCCTAACCTGCTAACGTCTTAGGTTCGATTCATTTTTTTAAAAAAATGATGAGGGGGGTGAATAATTCACCCGGGTAGTGAATAAATTATTTCTTTTTTTTATTAATGTTCTTTTTTTAAAAATAAATTAAAAAACTTGTAAAATTAATTTATTAAATTTTTGTCAAGTATAATTAATTATTGTATCTTTGTCAAGTTATTTTTTTTATTTAAAAATTTTTTAAAAAATATTTCTTGTTTTTATTAATTAATCTTACTACTACAGTATCTGCTATGGTCAAATGGTCTAGTCTATTAATTAAATAAATTAAGTATCCAAAATAAATATATATACATATATATATAGTATATATATTTAAATATCCTTTGACCAATTTGACCAATACTAAACCCTTTGACCAACTGGTCAAATTGGTCAAACTAGTCTGGTCAAGCTTGACCACTGACCGGTCCATGCCAACCCTGTATATATAGTATATATATATATATATATATATATATTATATAACTATAACAAATTTATAAAATTATATATATATAGTCTGACCTCGTTATAGTCACTCTCAATATAGTCACAACCTTGTTATAATCACGCTATTTTTTTGGTCTAAAACATATAAAATTTGACCTTTATTTAGTCACAACTTTTTATAATCACCAAATTTTTATTACGAGGTCAGACTGTATATATACTATATATAATATATATATATATATATATATGTATATATATATATACTGTATATACAGTATTTTAATTAGTAATATATATTACGTATAATAATAAATATACGGGTATACGTGTTAATTTTAATAATATTCCCAATAAATTAATAGTATGCTAGTAATACGTTACTTACACCATGTCAATAATTTTTTATGCCGAGAGCTCTATAAAATGTTTACTAATCAGCCGATTTATGTAAGATGGATACCTTCTTATATGTTAGCACAAATTAAAGGTCCAAAGGTAATAAAAAAAATCATACCGATACTTATTTATTAAGGAAACTTCGGTGATTTCCGGATCGGAAGTATCCGTAAATGAAAATATCCTATATATGAAATATATGACTTATTTAAGTGACACAATAAATTTGGTGAAATTGATTAGCCTAAAATCTGTAAGCAGCCACGCCTATCGCTACGTACGTATAACACGATACAAGCACGAAGGGATGATAAATTCTGAATTACACATGGAAAACTTAATAGAAAGTCTTTTTTGGTAAAACCGATACTTAATATAATGATTGGCAATCCAACATCGACTAATCAAAAATGATGGATCGTTCGGAAACGCGAAAAAAATACCCTAGATGTCAAATAGTGGTATTGATAAGATTGACGTATAAGATTGTGATAAGATATGGTGTGTTGTCAGTCAAAAATCATCATACAAATGCTGTAACTGGTTGGAAACTTGCATTATATAAATCCCTTTCTGTCTAGAATAAATACATTAATAACACTGACCTTCTTTATCTCCGCTTTTTTAACATCAACTCTCCTATATTCATTCTTTCAAAGGTCTATTTCTCATATATCAGTTTACATAAGCTGCTTGTTAGTTAATCTAATATATCCTCGTAATTTTCTTGCACTCGATAATAATCAACTGCTGCTACAAAATTCACACCTCTCTTACTGAAATCATGTATTGAAACCCGAATAGATTAACTTTGAGACCTTACCTCGGTCCTTTGTATATAATTTCCTTGCACATCCTCTAATTTTATTTTCGTTGTCCTCTCTTTCATTGTATTGCACATTTGTCCATAAAGCATACTTTTTGCCTGTGGCAGCTTTACCTATTCAACGCTACCTTTATGCGTTATCCAATAAATAGCAGGATCGATCAAAGAACTTTAGAAATGTCAACTTTAATCAATGAGTTTGAAGATATCCTAAATGCTGAAGTTTTCATCGACCTTGATAAGCTGCGAGAATTGGCTAGACATGGTATTCCCATAAAAGTTCGAGGGGTAAATTCTTATCAGATGATCTTTTGCATTATCAATTTTTAATTATCGAATTATTCTCAGTTAAACATATATCCTTGATTTTTCTTCTTATAAAGTAATTTCTATCTATATCTTTATTTTTCCTCTAAAGGAAGTATGGAAGTATTTACTTGGTGTTAATCCGGCTGATAGATGTATGTGAAAATTTAGTTATGTTCAAAACTATTCAGTGTTATTATTTTGCATATTAATAAAATTTTTTATTTTTTTTTTATCAGCACAAGAGTTAACTAGCCTCAAAGCCAAATATGATGAATATTATAATATAGAAAAAGAAAATGCGGATATCATTAAGCGAGTCCGTGGTGAAGTTAGCCGATATCAACGTAAAATGAAGAATGCCAATGATGCTTTTAGTCATCGTGCAAATATCTTTGAAAATGTCATCGGTGCTTATATGAATCGTAACCGGGATATTGAATATCAACCAACTTTCGTTTACTTATGTGGTCCGTTCGTATATTGCATAAAAAACGAACCAGATGTATATTATTGTTTCACTCGACTTATGGCTATATTGGGTTTGTTTGGTTATTGCTTTTTATCTATGTTAACATCATTATTGGTTTTTATTCTAACACTTTCTATTTATTCTATTTATTAGACGAGTATAACTCTACCTACAATATAAACGAGCGTGTCGCGAATTTCATGACATTGTTCAGAGCGATCATTCCTGATTTGTATGTATCTTGTAAATTTTTATTAAAATCATCTTTGAGCAAGAAGCTAATTTGATATATATTTTTTTCCAGATGTAATTATTTTGAAGAGGAAGAAGTAAATATTAATGAATGGGCATCATCGTGGTTGCAATTTTTATTAGCAAAAGAACTTCAATTTGATGATTTAATGCGACTTTGGGGTAATTTTCAATCTTCTGTTATGTTGATAAAATTTATCAAAAACATAAAGATGAAAATAAATCCTTTTTTTGTTACAGATACGTATTTTTCTATTCCCGATCCTATCGAATTACATCCATATGTATGCTTAGGTATATTATTACCAGATCAACATCATTTGAGTCTTATTGTTTTTCAAAATATTTATTGTTTTATTGTTTTTCAAAATATTAATTATTTTATTTAATTTTTCAGCTGTGCTAAAACATACCAAAGAGAATCTTGAGGAGTTGGAACAATCGGAAATTAGGTCACTGTTATTAAGATTACCCTCTCTGGATATGGAGCAGGTATTTCATAATAATTTCATTTTTAGAGATTATAACCGGTCAAAATTCATGTCTTATCGATTTTGGCCGGTCAAGAAGTCGGTAAAATCATACGATAATCAACCATTCAAATCATTGGTTATCTATCACTATTTATCTGATGCAACAAAAGAAAGCTATGTTTCTTATTAATCGGCTTCTTAACCGTTCATAATTTTTATGACCGATCCATTGGATATTGATCGATTAAGTGGTCAATGATCAATATTCATTTTAATTTATTAATTCATTTTTTCATTTTCTAATTTTTTTTTTTGCACAGGTAATTAATCAAGCTTTTAACCTTAGACATGAGATAATGGAAAGGCAAATTTCAGATAGCCTTTAAAGAGTCATGGGAGTCACACGAGTTATCGTAAATTAACATTATATCATAATGATATTAAGTCTCTCATTTAACGTATAAATCTGAGGTGTAATAAATCAAATTCGTTTGTTAAAAAGGTACATTTAATTGTTCCATATTTATTAAATATAGAGCATAAATAGGCATACAATAAGCCATTTAACATTAATAAATAGATCGGAAAGTTTTAAATTGTAAAAAGAATTTCTTCATTTATCAATTCCATTAAGATGTGTTGCACAGCCAAGCTTAGCCTCTAGAGTTTAGTATGAGATTCCATAATTACTAATTTATAGTCAAAATATTACTATAATTGTAACGTGGCTATTTTTACTTTAATTATTTCTACCCGAATTCCTGATCGTGGTACGTAAGTACATGATCGAATCGTTATTAATAACGATAAATTAACAACGAATGTCTAAATTAAGTTCGTGTAACGTCTATTTTTAAACTATGGAATGATGAGCTTATTTTAATTCGTGTGAGGAAATATCCAAGTCTTCTAACTCAATAATGTCAAGACAAAGCGGGTGGAATCAATATTATCACCAAGGTCAAGGTTATGATACAAAAGGAGCTGGCGTCGAGGAAAAGGGAGCAAGTCCTAGTGACCCTTCCTTCTGGGGATCTTCTGACAGCCGGCCTAATACTGCACCTAGTGCGCCCCCAGCTTCTGTAATTGAGTTTGAAGATGCGAAAAATTCTGAGAATAAAGAAGCCTTAGAATCTGAAACTGACGAAGATTATGCCAGACGTTTATATCGCGAAGATCGTGAAGAAATGGACAGACAACTTCGTAATAAATATGGACAACATGGAGACAGTGCCTATTATAATACTTCAGATGCACCAGGAGGTTATTATGCGTCTGGACCTCAAGCTGAACAATACGGATCTGGAATTCCACCACAAGCACCACAAATTCAATTTCAACCTCAACCAAGAACTTATTGGAGACCATATTTCACCTACCTTGCTACTCTTGTGCAAACAGTTTTGTTGATTTATTCATTTATTTATAATCAAAATCTAACCGGTAGTGCGCTTCAAACTAATCCTTTTAATCCTATGATTGGTCCTGGTGCAAACGTAAGCATTCATAGTTAATAAATATAATTTTAGCCAATTATATTATGTAACTTATTTTTGAAATACTTTCTCATTTTAGACTCTTGTTCAACTTGGTGCTCGATTTGTTCCCTGCATGCGAGATGTTGCTGGTTTCAGTAACACTACTCAATCATGCCCAACGTCTACTGGTGGAACTACTACTTGTAATTTAGAGACTTTATGTGGCCTTGGTGGATTTCATGGCGGTGGGCCTGATCAGTGGTACCGATTTATCATACCCATTTTTCTTCATGCTGGTGTAGTACATTATCTTTTCAACATGTTGTTCCAATTAACGACTGGGAAACAAGTGGAAAACGAACTCGGTTTTTTGCGTTATGGTATTATATATATGGCCAGCGGTACATTCGGATTTATCTTTGGAGGAAATTTTGCTGCGCCAGCAATTCGTAAGCATTCAATTTTTTTTTCTAATAGATGGTGACAAATTAAATATTCAACTCAAATTTAACTTTTTTTTTTAATATTCTTATAACAGCCTCTATGGGTGCATCCGGCTCTCTTTTTGGCATCGTTGGCGTTTTACTAGTAGAAATTTTACAAAATTGGAAACTATTTCCGAACCCATGTTGGGAACTTACAAAATTATTAATAATGATTATACTATCATTTTTACTTGGTCTTTTACCTGGTTTAGATAACTTTTCTCATATAGGCGGATTTTTAATGGGAGTATTTACTGGTCTCGCTTTAAATACAACATATAATTTTTCGAAATTTCACAAGTATGCTAATATAATTCTCAGAATTATCGCGGTGGTAATTTCTGCATTATTATTTTACTTCCTCATACAAAACTTTTATGCTGGTGATCCAAATCAGAAATGCCCTTGGTGTAAATATTTAAGTTGCCTACCATTTACTGGATGGTGTGATAGTAAAATAGGAAATAGTGTTACTACAAATTAATGATTATATTTTTAAAAATACGTGTATTTTAAGCTTTAACAATTTGATTGTAATGATAATAAGTAAATTTTCTGTAAATTCTAATTTAGTTAAATATAATTGTATATTTTACTAAAATTTAGATTTGGGATCTTAAAACAAAATTTGTAAATTTTTATAATCAACTTTTTTTACTATTAAGTTCACCGTGAGCATCCCATAAATTCATTTCTACCATTTTTGTAAAAGGATGTTT